AAGATTCATTGTAATTCTGCAATTCTGCAAACGCTAGCTTCCCTTTGAGGCTGAGCTTCCCTACGAATCTCTGCTAGCCTGCCGGCCGCCCGCTAACAAGTTTTGACAGGTAAGTTCAGACTCGAAAACAGATTTTCCACAAAAATCTCTGTCAGCATCCCGTAAGCTGAAATTTCCTCAAAGATCTTCTATACTCGTGTAGGAGCCAATTTCCTCAATAATCTCAGCTAACTACCCCTGAATTTCCTCAAGAACCCCTGCCAGCATGCCCGTATTTCGCGGACTACACCCCATTCCTTTGTCCACCCCAAAAAGTGCCAATAGTCAACACGCGTACTCGATTACTGGCCGACAATCTTGCCTTTCTGCGGCTTTGTTCGGTCGGTAGTGGATGAACATGTGCGCGCCAACTGTCACCCCCCACCTGCCGATCCTCAGCCACCAGCCGGACCCCACGAAATTTCCCTTTCATATGGCCCCTTTCACCGCAAAGAAAAAGACGAAAAAATATATAAGCGCAGCCAGGGTGCCCAGATGCAACGCATATGGTCCTCATTCCTCGAATCGAGCTTGGTTTTGGGGGTTTTAAAGGGCCGGTGAAGGCAACTAGGGCTAAAAAGTTCGATTTAGGCAAAAAGCAAAAAGTTTGTGGCGGGCGGGGCTCGAACCCGGGTCGTGTGGGCGAGAGCCTGTAGTTTTACCATTCAGCTAACGAGTCGAAGTCTTCGTTAATTTCAAGAGCAAGACGTTAGGTCTTTACTATATGCTCAACGGTCTCTGCAAGACCTCCCCAATGGTCTCTGCTAGCTAGCCTCTCCACATCCTTAGCTTTCCAAGTGACCCAAAATTGGGCGTGATATTGCCGGGGGCACCTGTCAACTTCCGGCAGCCGGTCAGACGGTTCTGAAGAGAGAGCAAGAGAGAGAGAGAGAGAGAGAGAGAGAGAGAGAGAGAGAGAGAGAGAGAGCTAGAGAGAGCGAGATACAGTCCGTTAGACACCTCCACCCAGTATAAACAATGGGTGATCAGCTTGCACACCCCTTCCACCACCCCCAGGTGATTTGTGAGGCCAACAGAACGCTCCTATAGATGCCAATGGCATTCGATTGCTGGGGGTGTAAATTATGGGAAACACTCGCAAGAGGGTGCCCACGGCAAAGTAAACTTTTAGAGGGCAGTATTTGACCGTTGAAACGCAAGCTAGCGGGGGTTCTTACAAGGGAAGGGCGAATGCGCGATCTCGAAATTCGAAAAACGCTCGCGGCTACCCCCAGGTTATCGACTACGGGGAACACGATGGTGTTGTCAGAATTTTCCACCGAGCCCTGTAGAGCGTGATACGGTACTTCCGAAAAAGGATAATTTGCATGCGAGAAATTAGAATGTTCCCTGAGGTTTATTAGGAGCTTCCAAGTATCTACCACTGTCGGTGAGTTAGTCGAGTGCTAACGGTCTCGCTTTTTGAAATACCAACAAGAGTTCCGATCCACCCGTAAATTTTTATTTTTGCTTTTTTGGGGGCAATTTGCAACATGCGATTACCGGTCGCCAGCTTTCAGTGTGCATATTTTGTTTTTTTTTTTGTTCTGGAGCTCGGAGCTTGCAAACAAAATTATTTGAAGCGTTGGGAAATTACTGGCAATGCCAGGCAAAAATAGCGCTCCAATAAGCAAAAAGAATTATGAGTGGAAGGGAACCCTCGTTGGTATTTCAAAAATCGAGGCCGTTAGCACTCGACTAACTCACCGACAGTGGTAGATACTTGGAAGCTCCTAATAAACCTCAGGGAACATTCTAATTTCTCGCATGCAAATTATCCTTTTTCGGAAGTACCGTATCACGCTCTACAGGGCTCGGTGGAAAATTCTGACAACACCATCGTGTTCCCCGTAGTCGATAACCTGGGGGTAGCCGCGAGCGTTTTTCGAATTTCGAGATCGCGCATTCGCCCTTCCCTTGTTAGGGAATTTTTAACTGTGGGGGTGCTAGCAGAGGTTCTTAAGGAATTTTCGTCAAATTCCGTTTGAATCCACGTCAAATTCAGGGGCTACAGAAGCCCCAGGAGCGCTTTCCCACACTAGCCACTCCCTATTAATTTTATGGTGGCCAGGTGGGGTGGATGGTATCGAAGAAAGACACAACATACAGTCCCTATCTCTCTCTCTCTCTCTCTCTCTCTCTCTCTCTCTCTCTCTCGCTGTCTCTCTCTCCTCCAAATAGGAAAGAAGAGTTTCCCAGCCTCGTAAAGGAGTCACGCACCGTCGACTCCCGGCCATCCCGTCCACCCCTTGAATTTGCATACGAAAAAGATACGGCCCGGAGGGGGGAGGATGTATTGGAAACAGAATGTGGGATATCGAACGTCGGGAAGAATTTCCTAAGTAATCTCGGCTAGGGTAGATGGACAGCATCCCGAAAGACACCATCCCGAAAAATTTGGCGAAAAGTCAGCTCTACTATAGAAAAAGGAGCTATTTTTCTATGCTAATGAAGTTTTCGCATGCAAATTTTTCGGGATGGTGTCTTTCGGGATGGTGTCTTTTCGGGATGGTGTCCATAATTCCTCGGCTAGCCTACCCTTTAGTCTTGAACCAAATCTCCTCAAAAACACTGCTGGCTTGCCCGAAGAAGTCAAATTCCGCAAGAAACGCTATTAGCTTGACTGTTTAAGTCTAATTTTTCAAGAACCGCTGCCAGCTTACCCTCACCAACTAACACTCCTCAAAAATCCCTGCTAGCAGCCACCTGGAAGTCGAATTTCCTCATGAATCTCTGCTAGTCTGCCACCCGACAGCCAAAATGAGGCAAGAGCCTAGGCTAGCTTGCCCTCTAATGCTCTGCCTCCTCAAGAATCTCCGCCAGAGGACGCTCCAGAGCTCCAGAGCTCCAATATTCCTTCCTCATCCCTAAGGCTCGACTTTCCTGAAAAATCACTGCTAGCCTGCCGCCTACCATTGTTTCCCATGCCCTCTGATAATCGGCACTCAATTAATCGGCCTAATTGCCCTTGGGACCAAGTGATGATCCACCCAAGTTTGTGCCCTCGGGCTATTTATTACCCACCAGATAACGATAGGTCGGGCCATAAAGAACTTGATAATATTGGTGATGATATGATAAGGCATTGGATACTGTAGGCTTCCTCCCATTCCTCAAAGAATCTCTGCTAACTTGCCCTTAAAACCCCTAATTTACGATCTCCATTAAAAGCCAAGAAACACTACGTAGATTACGGTAGGCCGTACATAGTAGCCCTCCGGAATTTCCGGCCCTCGACTATGGTATTAGTCAATCTATTATACCCACCAATATTTGCCGTTGCGTAAGAAGTTGTGGGGTGGAAAACTTCGGTTGCAGAGAGAGAGAGAGCGAGAGAGAGAAAGAGAGAGAGAAATGTTTTGTATGCCCACAAACCCCTGCCCCGTTTAGGCTAATCTTTCGCCAAAGCGAGAGAGAGGGTCAAGGCCCTCTCCATCGAGCACCACACCTCGCATAGCTGGCCGATTTTGGAGGCCAGCTAGCAGAGGTGATTTAGAAAAACCGTGGCTAGGTAGCAATGATTCTGGTGGAATTTTCAATAGCAGAGATTCTTGGGGAAACTTGGCTTTTAGACGCAGAGTTGCCGTTTCCCAGGGATCTTTTTTTACTTCCGGGGCCTGCTAGCAGAGATCCTTGGAGGATTTTGGGCTAAATAGACCATTCATGATCGAATCAAACCTAAGGATCTCAAATTTTTTGAATACCTTTCCCCGTTCGATTCGATGAGCGCCACCCGGCCACCAGACCCCCGGGCTACCCCCGAGACTAAAGGTGGCAGATTTCGCTCGGGTTGACGCGTTGACAACGGCCGGGCCAAATTCGAACGGACCGATCGATTACGGGCTGAAAATTGTAGATTTCGGCAATGGAAGTCCTGAACAATCACTGCTTGATAGCCTCTCAGAACCAAAATTCCCCAAAAATCTCTGCTAGTTCGCCCGGAAATTGGGGTATCATCAAGACGCTCTGCTAGCCTTCCGTCTGGCCCTCCAATTTCTTCAAGAGCCTCTGCCAGCCTGCCTTTTGACATCCAAATTTCCGCAAAAATCTCTGCTAGCCAGCCTTCGGAAAGTCAAATTCCTCAAGAATCGCTGCTCGCTTGCCTTTCAGCCGCTGTCCTCAAAATCGCCACTACCCAGCTGGAACATCCACTTTACTTCTCTGGGTCTCCCAATTCAGCTGGTGATTTTTTCACCACTATTAGTAGGTCCATTTCACGCTATATTTTTACGCACTATGCTAGTTAAATTACACGCTCCTCTAGCCAATTTTAGTCGATCCAACATTCCAAAACGTCGAGCCGGAAAGGATGGTGGCAGATGTTCGGGGGAGGGTCCTGAAAAAGGGGCGGGGCTTGATGGGTACACCCCTCCCGCCCCCTTTAACCCCTCCACACAACCACCCTCCATACCCCAATCATTCCATCTATATATACACCACGGACTGCTACGATTATCGATATTTTAATGCGTTTTATACATATAGATTTTTCTCTTATTTTCTCTTCAACGGGCCTTTAAAACCGAGCCCTACGTTCAATTCTTAATTTTTCTGGCTTGCTGTTTTTCTGGCTGTTTTTATGAAAAACTCTTCCTCCTCTTTTCTGAAACATGGGATTCCTACCGTATTCAAGAAAATATGCAAATCAATCCTATGTTTTGCCTTCAATGGCCCTTTAAATCGTAAATTTCCTCGTTTTTCTCGATTTCGCGCACGATTTTCATGGCGTAATCATCAGCGCGGGCCTTTAATGCCAAAAATATTTTTAGTTTGCTGTATCCGTAATTCGTAATATGCTAATTTGGCAAGGTCTTTTACTCTTTTGTTTCTCAACGGAAATTTGTGTTTTTATGGTCGATTTTGATACCATAACCGCCTCAATTTATTTTTTTACTGGGACTTACTGTACCTTCAAAATCACGAAAATTTAACAATATTTTCAGCCGCCCTTCCACGCTAAAATGCGAACCATCGCCCCGCGCGTGAGCCCCCGGGCCAACCAGAAGACCAAGCCGACAAAGACGAAATGTGGGTTTTTGGCTATGGTGCAGTGGATAAGTGGTTAGGTTAGCAGGAAAGCCATCCGGGTTCGATTCCCGCGATCGGAATTGTTTTGCTTTTTGCAAAAATATGGTTTATAACAATTTGGTTGCCAAATTCACCTTTTATATACGGATTAAACTTTGATTATCTTTCTTTATTGGGAAAACTTTTTTTTGCTAATTTAAATTTTCTATAGCGATTTTTCACCATGGCGTAATGGATAAGCAATTAGGCTATGAGGTTCGGAACCCGGGTTCGATTCCCAGGGTTGAAATCGTTTTTGCTTTTGTGAAAACGGGTTTTTAATGGGTTTAAATAGTCAAATTTAATCGTCTGATTTCAGCTCAACGACTGAGTGCCGCCGAAAAGATCGAACTGGACCGGCTGGCGGCCATTCTGCCCCCGGTGGCTCGACTCGCGAATCCGGGCCGCGATCCGCTACGCGTCCTCCACGACACGGCCGCCTATATCGACAACCTGGTGCAGCTCGTCGAGGCGAGAGTGGCCAGAGGGACACTTAGTCCAGGTGAGCGCTGCTTTCTGCCTTCAACGGTCCTTTAAACTAAAAAAGTAGGATCTCGCTTCTATGGTTCTTTTAAGTTGTTCCCATTTCACCACCTTTTCAACTCAAATCCCCCCTGGTCAGGTATGTAGGTAGTTGGATGAAGCCCTGCGGGTGGGTCCTGTTGGGCCCTGCTGGGCCCTAAGGAAGGGGCCAACTGTGCGCCATATGTGCCGCAACTGCTCGCACAGCCTCGCACATCCCCTCAACTCAAACCACCTTCTCAATGCTCGCTTTTGCCTCAGAAACAACCGAAATTAAGGGGTTAAAGGAACCGGGAAGGTAGAAATCCATAAGGCTTCATCTCGCTTCAATGGCCCTTTAAAATTGACTCTAAAGGGGTGGTGACTGCAAAAAAATGCGGCTTGCCAGCCCCTTTAAAATGAGTTCGAAGCTTTAGCTCCCGGGGGAGCTATGGATTAAAGGGATCGGAACGGCGAGAATCCATAAGGTCTCACCTCACTTCAATGGTCCCTAAAATTGGCTTTAAAGGGCTGGTGACAGCAAAAAAATGTGACTAACAGGTTCCTTTAAAAAAGTTTGTATTGCTGGATTAACGGTACCGGAACTGCGAGAATCCACAAGTTTTTGTCTGGCTTCAACGGCTCTTAAAATCGACGCTAAAGGGTGGCCGCACTTCAACGTCCTTTAAAATTACTTCAAAGGGACAGTGACAGCCGGCAAAACACCTAGCCTTCCACGCCCCTTTAAAAAGAGACAGGTGGGGCGCCGTGGAATCCGGGGGAAAGTTTGCCATTTCTGGCGTGCCCATAAATTAGGCAGGGGCCCCTGATCGAGGTCGTCGATAGGAGTGGAGTGTAGGGGGATTGAGATGGGGATGCAACCTGCCAATTTACCCGTCTACCACCTTGCCCCCCGGCCATTTAAGGGACCCTTTACGACACCTTTAATGGTTTTTATATGGTCAGATGGATTTGGAAACATTTAGCGAGAGGGAGAGAGAGGAAGAGAGAGAGGGAGAGAGAGAGATAGAGAGACCCAGAGAGCCAGAGACATAGCGAATGAGTAGGCGAGCTAGAGTGAGCGAGAGAGAGGGAGAGAACGATCCAGTCTGAAAAAATTTTTCCTCCAAATCAACCTGAGAATTTGCATTAAAGACCCATTGAAGCCTGGAATAGATTACGCCATGAAATCGCTAAAAATTCATCTAATGAAGTATCTTAGACGCTTTAAAATACCTTTTATACCCCTATATTTCCATCCCCTAGCTACCCCCCGCCCCCCAAATAAGCCCTAAAATTTTGCACCTAGCCATAATTCCTTGAGGGCAGCTGATGCTTTCCCATAGCCTACCGGCTGGACTTTCCCACCATTCGCTTTTTCAAGCCGCCACCACGCTCTCTCTCTCTCTCTCTCTCTCTCTCTCTAGCCCCTTTTTGAGATGCTCACCGACCGTGCGGCGGGTGATACAAATAAGGGTTGAGCACGGTGGGAACCAAACGGGGCGCGCTGTAGGATTCGGGCGGAATTTAAACGGGTGATCAAGACACTTTTATGACGTAAAAATCCGAGATTTTAACTTCATTAGACCTTTAAAAAGCCATAATTTCCATAATAATGGTTTTAAAGAACCAGTGAAGCCAAAAAAAGTCCTAAAACTTCCTTTTACCAGACGTCCTCGCCCAATTCCCGACGGCTCGCCTGCCCCGCGCAACGGCCCCTCGAAAACCCCGGAGGAAAAGCCTCGAAAAGAAACCGTAAGCCCGACTACGGTAGTACGATACGCTACACTACGCTACGATACTCTTGACGACTCCAAACTACAACAATCTGTGATCTGCCCACCTCGGCATTCTGTGCCTTTTTCTCGTGTTGAAATATTTTTGTGAAACGGGTATCCCGTAGACTGGGTCAGGGGCGTGAGTGGGGTACTGTAGTTTCGAAATTTCGTGTAACCCTTCTTTGCGGTACTCTAGAGGGCTTTGCGCTACGCTACAATACGATACCGTACGCTACCGTACCCTCTCGTATTTTACGGTACGCTACAGTACTCTAGGATATGGAAACGGGGGCTACCGTATGCTACCGTATGTTTTAGTACGCTATGCGCTACGGTACGCTACGGTATACGTTAAAGTACTACGCTACAGCACGCTACAGTACCCCACCCACCCCTGCATTCCATTCCTCCTCCACTGTGTATAGCGTTCGCTTGTGCCCCCCTTTTATTGCAAAAGGTCGCCGCCTAGTTCAATGTGATCCCATGCCTTATTTTTTACTTTGTTTTTTTGCTTGATTTTTCGACATTTTCATGCATTATTTCGCTTCCATGTCCCTTTAGTAATTATTTTGTTTTTTCGACTGTACAGGTCTCGCATCTCGACGGCGTATTTATTTGATTTTATGAAAAAGTGATGAGTTTTGGTGTATATAAATATTATAAAAATTCAAATGTTCGAAATCGCATTTAGCAAATGGTCTCGGCTAGCTTGCCAAAGCTTAGAAAATTCCGCAAATTACCTCTGCCAGCATGTTTTCGAGCGGATACTTCCCAAATGATCCCTGCTAGCCTGCTCCCCTACCCTAAAAAATCTGGCTAAAGGTCCGCTCCTCGCTTCGCAAAATTCCGAAAAATTTCTCTGCTAGCTTGCCCACCTGTGAAAAAATCTCAAAGAACCCCTGCTAGCCTGCTTTGTAGCCGTATCTCCTAAATTGCTTCTGCTAGCCTGCCCCTTGCTAGAAATGCACTAATCCTCTCTGCTAACCCGCCTGTCCATAGGAGTGTACGTAGCGGAAACCCAGGAATAACCTACCAATCATTGGAGGCCAATTATAACCATTAAATGCCATGCCCGAGTGGTTGTCAATGGCCCTCCTACTGTCCCATGTTTTGGCAACAAAATGCGGAAATTGCGCAACGAGGGGCTCCTTTGAACGCGGCCGCGCATCTAAAGGGAAGAGAGAGAGAGAGAGAGAGAGAGAGAGAGAGAAAGAGAGAGAGAACGCACAAATGGTGCCCCTTAACGGGGCATGTCAAGTGTCCCGCAGCGCACATGGTCAGCCCTATTAAATGGGTGGGTAAGCATCAGGATCTAACAAAATATTCAGTGAGGGAGCTAGCTAGCAGAGATCTTTTGGTATTGAAGAGCAAGCTAACAGCGATGCTTAAGGAATGATCATGGTCAACTAGCAGAGATTCTTGCGGAAACCCTGCGGCAAGCTAGCAGAGATTCTTTGGGATATCTGTGGGAAACTAGCTGGTTTGGCCCTTTCCCGAGTCCCGATCCGATTGTCATACTGTATCCTCCGACCCCTTCATACCCTAGTATTATCGAATAATCCACAGGTCGACCTCCCCTTCCGACACCTGGGTCATCCATCTGAATTGACCCTCCTCTTCGGTCTCTCACAACAATCCCACTCCCCCTCCCTCCCTCGACAGCCCTGTAATCTGCGGTACAGGCCAATGGCCTCTGCTAGCCCTACTTTCCCCGCCGAAAAAATGGGACTAACAGTGGGCGGACAGCTGCTAGGAGTGCGCGAAATCGGGTGGAAAATGATTGTCTTTGTTCCGGAAATGGGCTCCAGTGGGTCTAGAATTTACTCGTTGACAAAGAATCTCTGCTAGCTTGCCACGGCAACTCTTCAAAATATTCGAAACAAGCAAGCTAGCAGAGATTCTTTCAAGCGAAAACCGTATCCGCCCGGCCGGCTAGCAAACACCCTTCAGAGCGCAGCATCAAAAGCCCAGGTAACCCATCCCTGTCCCATTACCAGCTGGCCATTCTTCAGATGAGACGGCTATTTGTTGTTGGCCTCCTTCTAAGGGCCCCATTGTCATTTGCCGCATAGCGGAATGGGCCCCTCTTTGGTCTCTCTCTTATATGTGGGCCGAGGGGCCCTTATTTGTGTCTTTTGATGACTGTTTGCCCGGGGTGTCATCCCGTATCGGTGCGGAATCGGGGAGGAAAGGGCCCACCTGGCCCTTTCTCAAAGGGGCTTCTTCCCATCCGGGCGTCAATATTTAGGTATGGAGGGGTTGAAAGGTATCGGAAAACGTCGACATTTAGCTCGATTGATTGGCTAAAATCCTAATAAAAAATTCTGCAACCTCCTGAAAAATCTCTGCTAGCTTGCCAGAATACGCTAAAAATCTCTCTTTGCTAGCATGCCCCCGGAGATTCCTAAAGGATTCCTGCTATTTTACCCCGCCTATCCCTAAAAGGCAGACATGGCAATCGGCCGGGCCGCGCGGCTTTTTCGGCCGCAAAAATTAGCATGCGGCCGGGCCGCGCGGCTTGGCCGCACTTCCGGCGCGGCCGCGGCTTTTTTTTCTGTTTTTAGGCCGCATCGCGGCCAAGCCGCGCGGCTTTTAAGGCCGCATCCAAATGAGTTTTGAGTACTTCCGGTAGGTAAATCGGAGATGCAATGGGTGTTTATCTTGCTAACGAGAAATATTTATTTTCGACAACCTTAATTTTCTCATTTCCATTGCCATTTTGCATGAAATTCGCGGATTTTTCGTATGTAAATGAGCCACTTCCGGTTTGCGGCTTGGCCGCAGCGGCCCGGCCGAGCCGCGATGAAAATGCGGCTAGGCCGCAAAGCCGCATTTCCGGAAGTAACTAATTACGGCGGCTCGTAGGGGGCCGCGTGTTTTATGGAAATTAGGCCGCCGGCCCGGCCGCGCGGCTCGGCCGATCGGAATTGCCATGTCTGCTAAAAGGTCTTTTCTAGCATACCCCCAAAGATTCCTACAAGATCGCTGCTAGCCTACCTCTTTTAACCATTTGTTGATTCGCCGCAAAGACCATAAATACCCCCAATGACCGTGGATGGCCCCTGGTGGGTGCTAACAAATTGCGTAAGGCTCGCCGCTGGCCATTTATGTGTGTGTGTGTGTGTGTGTGTGTGTGTGAGTGTGGCGGTGTCGGCTAAAGGGACCGGGAATTCAGAATAAGGGGGGAGGGCAGCTGGCAGGGAGGGGAGGGGGGAGAGGGCAAGCTAGCTAGCAAGCTCCCGTTCCAATTATGCAACAATTGGACACCCCACGGGGAGCGGCGGTACCCTTTTTTGATGTGTAGCGGGGTGATCGGTCGCGATCCGTTATGGGGGCGTCTTTTGGAGCGTTGCGGACAGCCGACAATTCATAGAGCAAATTCATGGAATTGGGAATTGATGGCCGCTGTAGTTTGGTATTGTCTTCGCCGCCCCAAAGTTTTCCTACCAAAAGTTGGTGTTTATATAGGCAAAGCGCTACTGTCGATAAACTACCGTAATCAACCCATCATATCGCCCAGATCGGATCTATCAGAGAGACACGGCAGCACTTTGGCTATCCGGCCGTGGCGGGACCCTTGCAAAGTTGCGCTAATCCCTCGGAATGGGCGAGTAGTACTTGAGAGAGAGAGAGAGAGAGAGAGAGAGAGAGAGAGAGAGTGGACAGGTGTCTCCACTCGACAACTTGGACCGAGTCCCCCGAAAGGGAACAGCATGGGTCACTTCCGGTCGATAAGGGCTTCGAGGCCGCTGGAATACTCAAGACCCCAACCCTTGGTGCTGCCGACCAATTTTAGGGAGACTAGGTTTTAGGTTGTCGGAATTTTCGTAGTCGGTAGTTTGGCTTGTCGGGATTTTAACCTGTCAAGATTTTGGCTGTCGGGATTCTGGCGTTTCCACGTGCGGTTCAACTAGCACGCGGGCGAGCTAGCAAAGATTCCTGAGGAATCTCTAGGGTTTAGCCGTTACCATTAGGGGGCAAGCTAGCAAAGATTTCTGAGGAAGGCCCTCTCCAAGGCCTGCTAGCTGATACTTGATACTTGTTAGGAATCTCCAGATCAGCAAATCCCAAAGCATCTCCACTCTAATCCGACAGGCTTCACCCCAAAATGTCAACAATAACACCCAGCAGGAACCAATTAATCTCGACAATGAGCTGCTGTGATCCCCACGATTTGCGTAATGAGAAGCCAATATGAAGCTCGCGGCGGGATGCCCCTGTCGATTGACATCCCCCCCCCGAGGGGAATCACCACAAATTAGCATACCCAAATTGGCGAGGAGGCCCTCGAGATTTGGGGCCCTGGTTGGGGAGAATGGATGAATCGAGAGTGGGGACCCACAACGGGCTGTTGCGCCATCGAAATACACCCAACCCCGGTGCCGGCCATTTGCATATTGGGACCCGGGGGCCATGTGGGAATATTCTAATGTGTTGAATTATGGCCCGGGGAGACATGGGATGCTGGTATGAGGGACGGAAATGTGGAAAAACCGAAGTTGACGCTTCTAAACACTTAAATAAATATACCTAGTATACCGTGCAAATTGTGTGTTAAAGTTTCCTTTAGTTTTTATGTTGAAAAACCCCTTCTTTTATTGCATGATTAAAAAAATAGAAAATCCGCTGACTTTCCATTTAGTACTCTGTACAGAACGCCGTAATTTGGAATCATCCGTAATCGATTACGCGCTCAAAGCCTGGTTTTTTCAAAAAATTGTTAGGTTTAAACGTTTGGATCCGCAACTTTTCGTTTTACAAATTTTTTGTTTATATTTCGTTGATTCTTAACCGTGGGTTCTCTTCCTAAAAGGTCTTTGCTAGCTGCTCGGGTCTTTGATTGTTAGGTGAATTCTAAACCATTTTTCCTCATAAAGGTATTTTTATATTTATTTTAGCCACAATTTTATCAGGAATCCAATTTTTGTTTTTCCGTTGATACCTACCGGTTAATAATAAAAGTATTTGGAGCTATTGA